CGACGCCAAATTGGGATGCATCGGCAGCGACTGTGATTGGTAGGCTTGGGTCGTAATGCGCAACCAGTGGTTTCGATCGATCATAAGTCACGGAGTTAGCGAATTTCAATCGATCACGGATCAGACGGACGGAGTGAATGTCTCCGTATGACGCGATATGATTGATTATTCTCCGCGAGATTGGTATTGATTGGAGATGTTCCGAATTGCAGACACTCGAAAAATAGTCAGTTTTAGGTAAAAAAAATAGTCNAATAGTCTTTTTACCTAACACATTATGAGCACACAGATTCTGTTCACCTGAAACCGTTTTTGGTAAATTGTTTTCCACTGTCATAGGCTTATGTCATTCAAACAAAAATATAAACTTTAACTTCATTTTATTCCACAAATTCATGCTTCATAGCCGGTCAATGGCGTGTAACAGTTTTGCGCTGCCTAGAATGTGTCGATTTTATCATAAACCGAATTTGAACAACAAGTTAATAATCATCAAAGCGTTCTTACACTGAATATTTTTTAGATGAGCAAAATCAAAGCATGGCTAACCATATTTACCTGGTTTTTGCAAAATTAGGACAGCTTTAGACAGACAAAAATTCGACCCTTGTGTTATTAGGTCTACCGAAAAATGAAGAGCTACCGAGTGCAATGAAACTGATACCGTCAGGTTGCCAAAGAGCCCTTCACATATGAATATATTTTAATCCTATTTTTGTTAATTATTTTAAAACAGGTAATGTTATTGACGTGACCCATGAAGACTATTTAAAGGACAAACGCATTTCTAGAGTGCCGTATCATGCACTGAGTAATTTGGAAAAAGAAATTTATACTGCACGCGCTCAAGTGATGGACTATTTGGTTCAGAGTCTGCGCAAAGAATGCTACGCTCTTGCTGAGAAAACAGATTTCAATCGAACGGATGGCCGAATGAGACGAATTTTATGTCGCAGAAGCGAACTGCTTATCGATAATGTCACCCTCGAAAAAACCAGTTTACGTACCAGCCGAACTCGTGCTTCACCGAAGACCGATCGAACGGAGTTCCGTAGGTTGATTCAGATAAATTTCACTACTATAATAATCCATCGAATCAAGGATTATTTGTCTGGTGATTCGAAGGATGTACCTATGGAAATTGCTATAATTTTAATATATAAAACATCGATATGTCACCAGTATGCATAATAGATCCCATTTACAAAGAAAGTGAAGAAAACCTATTCCAGAGGTGAACCGACTTTGGACTATTTTGGTGACTGTTTATACACACTATGTACAGTATACCCAGATACCTCTGTAATGGTCAGAAAACCAAGCTATTTAACCCCTGTGAAGGTGCATTTTACCTTTGTTGAAGAAGAAAAATATCTTTAAGACCATATCATAAATGAAAACGAACATTGAATTCATGCGGCCGATAGTGGCACCTGTGTACTTGATAATTGTCTATGTTCAGTATGTGGGTCCAACAGACCATATAAGTGATTGTATCATATCCATCATTTTTTGATGGGCATTATACGATCATCCCCCAAAAGGCTAAAGCCTGAATCACGAACACTTAGTGCCGTTTAAAACTAGTAGGGTATTTGAATCCGGCGATTATTTTGCACTTTTCTGCTTCACTCCTCCAGGGTGTCCCTATAGCAGATGATGCAATTATTCTTGAAATAATTTCAATCGCGGTTTTCCTTCAGCTTTCTTAGATGTATAAGTAGTCAGTGGCATTAGACACTTTCCCTCCTAATCCGTTTGATACACTCTTCATGGTAATTAACTGATGCATGTCTTGAGAGTAGCTACTAAACATACATAGAGACACTGTTCCTAAGGGGTAAAAGCGACGAGTTTTGAGCACAAAGAAGGCACACACAACCTATGCAGTCATCAGTCAGTACACAGACGGTATTTGAAAACTGCTTTTGCTATCTCAACCGTCACTGTTCGATTCGTGTTTTCCCCCTATAACCAAAAAGTATTATTTTACTCCGTGATGATACCTGATTGGGTAAATTTTCAAGCTAGGTGAAAGTGATTTCTACTGCTAAAACATAAAATAACTGGCTTGAAAACAAAATATGTTTGGTAAGCACAAGGTATAGGTGTTATTTCATATAACCTTTTTTATGTGAATTATTGAATCTCAGGTTCTCCACACTCTGAATGGGCCAGTCATGTAAGATAAAAATGCAACAATAGTCATCCGGGTGTTCATCACACTTATATTAGGCTGAACGACCACACATTGAAAGGTTCAATAAGTTGCTTCAGTAAACCGCTCAATTTATTTATACATCTATTTTGGTTTTAGTTCACTTTTCGTACACTATCTGTTCTTGTTGACTGCTTTCTTGTCCTAGACGTGTTCCGCAACTTGTGCATTCGACCAATTACTTTTATGCAGTATGAACAAAACGTGAGAAATGATCAAAACTCGTCATTCAGTGTTAGACCATAAAGCTAGAAACGAACACTTCCTTTCGCCGTTTGCAATAGCTCATACATAATTTAAGAACGCTTGCACCTTGATTCCTACTGCGCGATATATTTGTGCACGTTTGGTCTGTTAGAACGAATTTAACAAAAACCGGGATATAGTATCACGGAGAGCAGTGAACCCATGAAAGAAGCTTTCTCGCGTATACGTTCATGTCATCTTCCAGGTTGGGGCTTCGATAGTCATGAATGTTTTAAATTCCAGAATAAGTCCATTATGTCATAAGAACACACACATTCAGAGTATAACAATTGTTCTCTTTAATTCACCTTCTAGCCGATACATGTATTCAAGGGAACTGAAATATTAAACTAGGACAGACATTAAGTCAGTTCAATCGTCACAGTAGGTTTAGCCCTGCAAAGGACAACTGATGAACTGCCTGAAAGAAGGGTATACTGAAAAAACGTGAGCCGGATATTACACCAAATTGCACAGTTTCGAAACACTTGTACAAAAAAGAAACCTTACCCAATGGCACATGTGAACACAAGACACGCTCCGAATAGACGTTCGTAGGTGAAATTGGTCAGATCCAAAACATTCTCAGAGAAAACGGATACCCTGAAAGGCTCATCGAAAGAAACCTAGGGGAAAAAACAAAACACGAAATAGTTCAGTAACCTTCAAAAAGGATCCTTTTATTGAACTGCCATTCCAAAGCGGAAGACCTGTCTGACCTGATCAGAAGATGCTTGGCGCGTGCTGTGGGCAGAACTTTTAATGCAGCAAGTTGACCAATAATAAGAACATCTAATAAAGACAGATTACCTATCCTGGACTTATCTTTGGTTATATATTCCTACATCTGTGTCTGCAACCTAACCTACATAGACCGAACACCGGGGCAACTATCCCAGTGGATCAAAGAGTACTATTCACACTGGCCTCAACAAGGCGGGCAAGGTGTCACAAGAAGCGCTATTGCCGTCCATCCAGCAGAATCACGTCTCCAAGTGAAGCCTGAATCAGCTTTCAAAATTATCTATCTATCTATTCATCCATTAAAATCGTTGCGCTTCCACACTCTAACCATTGCAGTGGGGATCGGCGATCGATTGCCCAGACCCAATTTATGTGCACGAATGAGATTTGGTCATGAAATTTAACTGCCGTGACCTAGGATCAATCACAAGGATGACGCATCATAACCTGATTGCAGTTTTGCGGTGATCCATATACTGGCGTGAAACATGTCACAACACTCACTCCACAACCTTCCCTCTCCAAATAAAACACAGTGACTTTTGAATGACTGGATGTTTATCCTCGTTTAACATGTTATGTCCTCATATTATCTCTGCCGGCTAGAAGACGAATTATTTAGAACAATTGTTCCCCTCTGGACTTATGTTCCTATGCCATAATAGCCATATTCTGGAATCTAAAACTTTCATGGCTGTTGAATCCCCGACCAGGAAGACGAGATGAACTTATGCATGAGAGCTGCTACTGATGGAAACGATTGTAGTCTTGAATGTATTTGGCTAAAACAACCAGATAGACATAGTTCACAACTGCACGCAGTGGCGGAGCTGAAAAGTCGTTCATTGTATTCCTAATCGCAGAGAATGCATCATCTCGGTGGTCGTCACTAACGCAGCTTACTCGTCATACGAGTACTTATAACCCTACGACAGCTGCTGCGGTACCATCATGAATATCAAACATCAACGATCATTGTATCCTTATATATCAAGGCGATCTTTTACCATCGAGATGGGGCCGCACTATGAAATAGCTAAGAAGTATGTATCGATCTTCACAATGTGGTAACGTCATACCTCAAGTCAAGATAGGGCCTATGGAGAACGATGCCACAATTTACCGTCTCCAGTTGAGTGTGACAAGGCTGGCCTATATCCAACTTCCTCTTAAAATGAAGGCTGCTTTACCGAATGCTTTGTCCGGTCAAGCAAACAGTGCAGTTGAACTCCTGACAGAGTTCCTGACTTGGAATATGTCGATGACATCCTCTTGTTGGGTGATAACAAACAGGCAGTCCAACATGCTCCCAGTACCTTGGCAATATATATATTTAACACTGATTTGAAGAAAAGCATGGTATCAACGCCACAACAA